AATTATTCACTACAGTTTTAAATGATACACGGATTAATCAACATTCTCTCAAGGATTTATGTTTTTCTTTTCTATATCTGAAAGATACAAAAGATGCATTAATATATTAGTTTTTTGCGCTTTTTAAGGAAGCATAGAATTAACCCTATAAATGCTAACCACTGAGTGGTTCTTATATTGGTGAATTACCGTGATTATCATACAGTCCTTTTGACTGATTACGTCAACTCCATCTCAGAATTTTCTTGGCAGGATTCGGGAATTAATACTTGCATACATTATTTTTCATAATGGCATATTTTTTAGTCGTTTACCTTGTGTACTTTAATTTACCAGTTAGCATACCTTTGGATCAACCTATGTCAATTTGTCGTTTACACCTCGCCAGTTGTTCGAAACCGGGAGCAAGTTGGCAACCATAGTGCGCAGAATCAAAAGAAGGCAATCTACCACCGAATGTACATCCAATTGTTTCGGATACTGTAGCTAAATTAGGTTCGGTCAATTACAATAGTTGTATTCAACGTATTTAAATGAACATCTCCGCCTTCATGTTTGTTTAATAGAGTTCTGTAGGTAGCTATCATCTTTATGGTTACATCTACTGAAATAATGCGAATGCTCCCAATGATAATTCTACGGAAACACAGAAGTGCTACGTCCTGTTTAGTTTTTAGCATTCCATGCTCCATCTGTTATTGAAATGCTAAAATGGATAAAAATATAAAAATGGATTTCATCTTTTCATACATGATGGCATACTGTTTCCTCGGGGTGGTTAGTATAGAAAGCACCTAATGTTGCCTTCCATCCTTGAAGATGGCCCAGAAACACTCATGCAGTGACTGGTAATTCTACAGAAAATGATATAAGGTTGAGATAAAATGTAGTACATTTCCTTGTTCGTTGAGTTTAAAGCCGGTTATAAGATTGTGTAGACCGGAATTCCAAAGAGCAAACTGAGAATTTAATGGCGTATATAAATATTCTACAATGATATGAATGGCTTGATAAAATTTCCCCGGAAGCAAACGACCTGTTTCGNGTTTTTGCCGCTCGTCACGCATGGGTATCTGGTAACGTTTTGTCTTTTCATTCATAAACTTGTACCTAGGAATTGTATTTTCGTCACAATAACTTCATTTACAAAACCGGAAAAAAGCTGTTTAAAGATATTTACCCGGTGTTGCAAATGAGGTTATTGCAACGAAAATACATTTCCTGGGTACAGGTATATGAATAAACCGACAAAACATTACCGTAGACGTATGCCTGACGCGCGGCAAGAACCATGAAACCAGTCGTGTGCTTCCAGGGAAGAGTTTTCCAGTCATTAATGTACTACTTATGGTAAAATATATATCTGTCTTGATTTGGTTCGTAAGTTTAAATAAGAATATATGAAATATCATTATACTATTTTAGGGTTTTCTGTCTTTATCAATAGCACAGACCGGTGCCAAACTTGGAAATATTTTCATTCCAATGTTTGACTACATAAAATACATTTCAACTTATTTCAGACAGCGGCTTTGTTTCTAATGATATGGTGAAATGGAGGTTTAAGTGGGGACTCATTCAGATATTTGTCGTATGTGGTCTTTGTCCCTCGTGAATCAAGTCCAAATTTCCAATGAGTTCCTTTAATTTTCATTGTTATTGAATATACACTATTATAGCTTACTTTTTTCAGGCTGATCCATGAAATTTGTAGCACTCATATAAAGGACTCGTAGATAGCTCCATAGATATCTCACTATGGAAGGGAAACTTATTTATGTGAGAAGGTTATAAACCAGCTTGAAGAAGAATGAATGAACTTGAAACCGCCCTGCCGGGTAGGCCTGTTTATAATGCAAAAAGAACCAAATATCAGTAAAGTTAAGGCTGTCTGGATCATATTTTTCAAACCTTATCAGCGCGTTTTCAAGATTATTTCAGGATTTTATCGCACTCTTATTTGCTTGCAGAGCTTTTGTCTCCCATTTGAGTCTTGATGTCACAGTTAGAGCTTCGACTGATCAGGATTAGTTGCAGCAGTGGTTATAGTCCTCCTTGACGTTTAATTGAATCTCCCTAGAAACTCTCAGCAGGAAGCTCCATTTGAATGCTACTAAACTGAACCGAAACTTCAAAGATGCTCAAATAAGTGTCTACCTAGGAAAAAAGCAATGCTGAGAAAGTGATGAGAGTTTTAACTAAACACAGACAAGGCTGAAGATAACAGTATGTTCTTATGTTTTATTTTATGCTAGACGAGACCGCAGATTTAAGAAGCAGCAAATGCTAGTTTAGCTGAGACAGAAATTTTCCTACTAGGTCCATGATTTGCTTACTTAAATTGAAACTACTGCCAAAGAAACACTATTTGATGGTTTGGATCACATTCTTGGCTTCCCGAAAAGTTGTTTGTATAGGTATTTAGGTATTTATTAACAAGGAACTAAAAGAAAAATATATGAAATTGCAATTGATAGTGATGCAAGCTGGGTTCTGATTAATTAGCTAAAAGCTTCAGCGACCTTTGAAACTCTAACTTATTAGAGATGGTTCAGAAATAAGAAACCTATTATTTCCGAATAACTGGGAATTTTAGTAGTAATGCAATAATAATTAGTCAGAAAAGGGGATGAATATAGGAGAAAAGAAAGAATACAGCTTTCAATTTTCTAAATACATCGTTGAGAATAATTTTAAGGAATAACCAAATTTGAAGTTTTATCGGAATTCGGTCGCAGAGATCGGTGGATATTAACTGCCGGCATTTCGCCCCAAAAGGTGATGAGTTCAAATTTATTATCACTCATGGTACTTCCCTTCTAATTTTTATTCCTGGATTTTCCCATGAAACAATTGGGTCAAGCTTAATATTATTCAAACATATATGACACATTCTAAATTGAGCAAGAGCTAAAAGACGGAACAGATGTTTTTACTTGGTTGCGCGCCAGCTTTTGTAGGCGAAATATACAGCTTTTGTGTTTGATAACTAGTCTTTCTTTGAACTCGTTAATGAACATCTCATCTGAATCGGGAACATTGCAGCTGGTGATCTCAGTAGCTGAGAGTTCAATGTTCTCCTTGGGTGCTACATGTTTGTGTTCAACCGCTTCCTAAATTACGCCATATAATATAATAAAGACGAAGTGATCTAACCTCTTAAATGTCTACATGTTATTCAGCTGTCAAAAAGAATTAAAATAACCAACTATCACCAATGGAATCTTACCCATATAGTTACCAATATTATTTTTATCGTTCAAAAATGAAAATTTGAACCAGAAATTTGGCTGAGTGTTATTGTCTTACAGGAAATTTATGTTTGCATATCGATAACAGCATCAAATTTTAAAACGCCCTTTTTCAATCGGAGGAGAAAGTCGAAACGTTAAAGCAGGTACATTAATTAAAATATTTCCTGATTTACCAAGTCTCTTGGCGACGGATGCTATCTAGATTGCGCTTTGAAGTGTTTTGTATATCGATTTAGATGGAGTTATTGAATGTGACTTGATGGCCAACTACTCACTTGAATCAAGTTTCTGTGAAATCGTAATTCTGATTATACGCAAAACATTATAGCTATCACCGTTGGTTAAAACCTTCTCCAAATCCTTATGTTTCACCACTGACCACTTGCAGCTGTTCATCAGGTTCATTCTGAGCTAAAGTTTAAGGGATTTATTTACGCCAGCAGAACATTGATTCAATTAAGACTCCATTAGTTAACTCTAGAAAAATTTGTTTGTTGTTGTTCGGCTATTTTCATGACCAGTGGCACATCCAATAAAAGCTATGATTTTTTATTCAAAGGAAGTACTAGCCAGACAGAATCATTAGGTTTTACATCTCAAATTGTTCTTTCCAACTAAGCAATATTCGATCAAAAGTGCCTAGAACCTGTAAAACACGATTAGGTGAAAATTATATGCATTCACTTTTTAAAATGCTTAGAGCTTTTATAATCTATCTGTCAGTCAATGCTATTTATACTACCTTTCGCCCTGATTGACTGACAAAGTTTGACAACTCAACTTTTATGAATAAAAACAGGATGCAAGGCATTTTCCTGGGACTAGGGCCTTTTGAACGAATATTTATCGGAAATATCTTCACACTTTTATTCATGATTTTCTCAAAATGACTCTTTTCTCTACCCGTTATTGATCATATCTATTTTTCCAACATGTTTATTTTTGTGTACGGGAGATCGTGGACTAATCCGTCCGTATTCGTCTTCTGTAGATAGTTCTCTCGATTAGTTCGTCTATATTTTTATTCATTGCTATGTTGAATCAACCCAATTTGTCGTTTTCTTTCCTTCAAAAGACCGAAGAACGATTTCATGTTGTCATCTTAATTTTTTGTGATGTACCATCTTGATTGCTCCTTTGTTCCTTTATTCTAGGAGTTCATATGATCAGAGATACATAACACTACCTGAAATATGCTGCACAAATACATTAATGGTGTCTGTACGCAGATTTGTATCCCACCAAGGCTCGTAGTGCTATCTGCAGTAGATTACAAGATAACTGATTTACGATTGAATACTTGTGTCTTCAGACTTTTATCATTTCATTTTATTAAGTACATTATTAATTTCTATCAATGACCTCAATTCATCTGCTCGCATTCAATCTATCTGGAAACCCATAGCTTAACAAGCAAGGTTTGCTTTCTAAATTTACATGAATGAACAGGCCCCATGGATAGAAAGGAAAAAGGCAATTCATCTGGGGAAATGTTAGGCGAAATTTCGAGAACTCATTAAATTTTAGATTCATTCAACAGATCTTGTGATCAGAGATTTTTAAAGCCACAATTGGCTTGAAGCGCTTTTTCTAACTAATGCAGCTGTTTTAAATGAAAACTAATTTACTTCTGTTCTGAATTATCGGTTGATTGCTCTGTAGCTGGATGGTAAGCATGCGGAGCTACCACAGCTCATAAATGGTCATTTGGAGGACATTCGTGTCTTTCGTGAGCAAATAAAGCGAATGAAGGAAGTTTTGAAGATAGAAAAACAAAGAAGGCATGATGCAGAAGGTGCCAAAGATAAGGCACTGCATGAACTGAAACACCTCCGGAAATTGGCAGAAGAACAGAAGTTACTTGAAAGAGAAACCTTGATGCAAACGATTGATAAATTGAAGGCAGAAGCACAGGAAAGAGAGAAGTTGTTGGTGGTGAGTAATTGATGTCATATATGACAGATTGTCTGTTAAAGTGGTATTGTATACAGGGTTTTTCTGCCAGTATTTAGTAGTCGTACAGTGCCGAAGAAGGAGTATCACAGAATGCCGAGTCGATTTATGTTTATGCTGATAGAAATCTCACAACCCATGCTTTTTCCAACAAGAACCACGAGAATCAATTTATGCTCTCACTTGACCGTAATTTATTTTTGTCAACCTCTTTTCCCATGGCATTCCTTTCAAGGACCAATATTACTATAAACGGTCAATAAACAGAGGCTGTTTTCCACACGTGAGGACTTGTTTGTGTCTGGTGGCAGTGGCAGTCCAGCAATACTGAAGTTGGATAAAGGGGAATACGGCATAGATGATCGGCCTTCAGACAAATTTCCCGCATTACGTTGTTTTGGTGATTCAGACCAGGACTGAGTATACTCGTTCGCTGACTCATGCAACACTCACTGCTCGAAAATCTCGACGCGGTAAGAATAGTGGATACAAAACCAGTCTTCAACGGACTGTAGGCAAATAAAAAGGTTACCCTTGACTTGTACTTAAACTCAAGGAATAAACTTTAGAATGGATAAATTTAGCGGGATGGAGGCTTCAAGAGATATAATACAAAGCAGAAATCAAGGGCAAGAATTTCCGGGTTCAGGATTTCGGTTGTTTTGTGTTAGATTGCACCCAATCAAACTACTAACGTTTAGCAATGTATCAGTAAAATTTTCGCATCCGACAGGTAGATTTATATATGCATCCATTGACAAATTGGCTACATAATATTTCAGACAGAAGTTTTTTAACCTGAATAACGTGGTGTTTGATATTGCTCAACGTTTTTGGTACCATTCAGCAGATGAAAGCATGATGAAGTGAAATCTTTCCTACAACATTCCTTCATCAGCCATAGCTCGACATCTTCTGATGACGCAGCACCAGATCGACCGAAGCACGGCGTTTCGGCTTATTTACAAGTCTCGAATCTCAAGATCACTAAGGTTTTCAGAAACCATTGCTATCAACCGATGGAAACCCCTGTGTGACAACAAAAAGAACTTTATGTTAGTGTGTCCCTACCGTGGTAACATGGTCCTTTTACCCCTCCCTCTTTTATGTTTGTCTGTTTTATTATATTTTATTTTTCTGTGTTACTATGCCTTATCCCTATAGAAACAACCTTTTTTCTGCAGTATGCATCATTTTGAGACCCAGCGAAATCGTCATGGACATAAATCGTGTAGTATTGCAATATGGTCTTTTCTTTTGAAATTGATCTCGGGAAAGGCTTGCTTCAGAAATCTTTCCTATTTAAAATATAATTGTTGCATTGCTGTGTTTTATTTCTGTTCTCAAATTTAGAATCTTGAAAGATATGCAGAAAATTTGGAGAAAAATCAGCGATTTGAGAGCCTGCGCGCCACAAAAGCTCAGCGTGAAATGCGAGACACTTGTCAAAAGCTTCTTGATAAGATAAGAGATTTGGAACAAACCGTACAAGTAAGTTCACTAGTGTGAACACATTACAGAAACGTTTTTGAACTTCAGATCGCTAGATACGGTCATACTAATAACTGAAATAGCTAATATGATAATCACAGTAGAATACTGTGAAGTGATATCCTCGAATAATTATTGAATGCAGGAACAGAGAAATTTTGATTTCACCAATGAATTACGAAACTTCTGAACTAAGATTACGTGGGTTGTCTGGTATAGAAATTAAAAGCAAAAACGTCATAGCAAAATACAGTGACGCAATCTACACTGGTCGCTATCCCGGAAGTATACATGTAGGACGTGGATTCGCAGCGGGAAGATTTAGGAAGGAGAAAAGGAAATGAACCATCGAATTCAATAAATAAAGTGTGCAGTCTAATTGTACATAATCACTTCTTCAAACAGCTTGATTTGGTAGGAAATGACAACAAAAAGCTATTTCTTTTTGTTAACTCCTGCTACCTTCAGTAATATGACTAATTGTTCAACAGGTGATTTGAACCTCGGCCCAAAAGTTGAGGGATATTCGGTTTATCTGATCTTTCCCAGTGAATTTCCTGATAATTGAATCTCTTGTGTTGACTTCAATGTAGTTTGCTTCCTGGAGCGAAACCAAAGCAGGGCTCGGTACGGTGTGCTATTGCCAAAATTTCGTAATGTTCATCCTAACCGGTGAATCCTACTTATTGGAATTCGTTTTAGGGACGTATTTCTCCGCGCAGACACTCACTATCTCATGAAGGTTTAATCTGATACTGTTGATCCACTCACCCTATTCCACATCTGCCGAATAAAATAATACCAGTGATCGGACAGATGTCTTCTATAGGTAAAAGCAAGTTCCCACAAAGGTAAAACAAAACTAACCACACAGGATACATGTGAAACGCTGTGTCAATCCTAAAGGAAGTCCAAGTCAACGTGCGTTGCTACAGCCTGCCTGTGATTACTTCTTTTATTATACTACTGTCAGTCGTTCCGAAACTAAGTACGATAAGTATTCAGTCACAGTCAATTATTGGACAAGATGAACTCAAGAAAAAATACAGATAAAATGATACATCATAATTATTTTTCCGCTTTCACTTATAACTCAGACGTCGATGTCTATTAAGATTGTTTCCATCAACTTAAACAAGCACAATAAAACATTTGAACTTTCACACGTTCTAAACCATACTCTTACCGATAGTAGGAATCGTCGGTTGACCATTACCACCCATACATATTTTTGTGGAATAATTCGTAATAATATTTACGTAACACTCCGACTCCATATATTTCGACCGGAAAACAATCAGGAGTGTTTCAGTCCCGAGGACGCTCTATAGTTAACTTTTGTATTTGCCTACTTATTAGTAGTAAACGCTCCATTTGCATACTATGTGGCCACCTATTGACTTGAAATACCAAGAACATTCACAGATTCCTTCACATAGTGGATTTTGACAACAGACACTTTCGGCGAGTTAGAGTTATTTGTTATTCGTTATCTTTTCCTTAATATACAGCCTTGTAACATTTTTAATAATTTGTTTGAAGGTATCAGCAAATCTCACCAGTGGACGAAGGAGAGGTCGATCATGTGGATGATGCCATGTTTAAGCCATTGATTAATCTTTTCCAATCAATTCACGCACCCAATTCAAGGAACCTCTGGGAATGTTCAAGTTTACTCGATGTATTTTCGTAAGACACATCTGAAATATGCTAAAACAACATAATTGGTTAAACAAACTAAAAAATCATTGATGCTCTTCTTCTGTTTCTCTGTAATTTCTTTCGTCATATATTCCTCCATCGTAGCTATTTATTCGGGAATCTGGTAATATATATGCAAGTATTATTCAAAGGACGAAGCATTGTACCGCTTAAAGTAGAAGAGAACCTGGTTTGTTGCCTAGCCACTTAGGATCGCAGTGAGAACTCCATAGAAGATGAACTTTGATTTATAAATTCGATTTGTGTGCATTGGGTATTCGCAAAGGTTGATTAACAGAACTGCAGCAATAAAAATTCATAGAAGATCAAGTATAAGAAAAAGAGTGCAAATTTCTTTGCCGTTGAAAAGGGGCGCATCAGCTGATATCATATAAAGGGATTGTTTCAATCAATGGATAGGACGTTGCATACATGAAAGCTTCATATGTTGTTCCCGTCAAAGATAATGATGTATTTGCGATTGAGGGATGAAGTTCCCGGACTCTACTGTATCATATACTACCGCTGTCGGATCCTGGTCAGAGTACAAGCCGTAGGAATTCGTTTGCATAACCTCCCTCTCTGTTTCCCAAAATCATTTATGCAAACAGTAGCGCTCGTGCATCTCCTCATTACTTTTGCAACCCTAGCAAACATTAATTTCCTGTCTTCTCTTTCATTCTGATCTCAAAATTCCTTCTGCACTTTTATCCAAATAAACAGCCTAAAGACAGCAACCAAAACGGTTGAACATAAATGCATATTTAATGGTTGTAAAAACTAAACTGAACTGAATTGAACCTACCCCGAAAACGCCTCACATCCCCAGTAGTTTTGATGATCAGATGAGAAGAAAATCTGTGTATTCTCCACCAGAGTTCATGCACTCAAACTATTTGGTGGAACAGCTCGGCCAAGCAGAAACGAGTAACCCTTCGACAATTTCAATAAGGGCCTCCACTACAGCTGTTGGTGACTCATATCGGATTCCACGCATCATGGGGACCCTGATCAGAGCCTTTGGCTGAAAGGTCTGACAAAAAAAGCAGTGTGGCGTAGATCCATTCATGCTGCTCTTTTATCCTAATGGGCGGCCAAAAGATAGCAACGAAAACCGGCGCATGAAAATGAATGGATAATGATTGCGGAAACTGAGACTGAAACCAGGCATCATGAAATTTACATTCAGAAACACAAAGTATCAAATGGAGCCAGATGTGGACTGGAGGGTAGGTGATCAACTTCCTAGATACGTTCTCCAGCCAGAAAATTGCCGATTACATGGGAGCTGTGTGCAGGTGCTTTGTCATGGTGCAGCAACGTCCCTCGTACTCGAGTCCTTGGACGACACCCGGCAATAGCTTTCAGGACTTTCGGCTAGCAGTGGATGGCGTACCAGTCTCCGGTGACTGCGCTTTGCTGTATGAGTGGTAGTGTAGCCACATGCCCGGTTTTGACCATGAAAGTAGCCACTATCTGCTTTGCCACATTGCGCTGGCGTCGGAATTTCCGAGGCTGTGCCCCACAAACCGCCGTCCTCTGAGACGATTGTTGCTTATTCTCTTGGTTGAGGCTATACATTCAGGTCTCATCACCACTGAAGAGCTTCCAAACTGCATAGGAACGTCCACCATTAGGCCTGGCTAGTGTGGTGAGGCACCAATTCACCTGAACTGCTTCCTGGTCTACACTGA